TTCAATGGATGACACAAATGAGAAATGCTCACAAAATGAAGCCAATCTTGATCTAGTTTGCACACCTCTTGAAATATCACCAATGATAGTATCCAATGGATGATCCCTTGCAATATTGGTTGGTTGAAGGATTGGAACTTGATTGCTTGCACTTGCTTGATCATTGGGTTGAGATGATGCACTAGCCACTTGATCTTGTTCATTATCATGAGATCCACTTGTACTAACTTGATTTGTATCATCTTGCACATTTGAGTTAGAGAGCACCTACACTTAATCATCTTCATCATCATTCACTTGCCTAGGCCTCAATTCACCAACATCCATGTTCTTCATGGCATTTGAAAGTTGAATACCTCTAACATCTTTCAAGTTCTCATTTTCTTCTTGTGAACCCTTGGTTTCATCAAATTCAACATTATGAACTTCCTCAAGAGTACCACTATCCAAATTCCAAACTCTATATGCTTTGCTAGTAGTTGAGTATCCAAGTAGGAATCCTTCATCACATTTCTTGTCAAATTTGCTCAATCTAGTGCCTTTCTTCAAGATATAGCATTGACAACCAAAAACCCAAACATATGCAATGTTGGGCTTTCTACCATTCAAGGGCTCATATGGTGTCTTCTCATTCAATGGGTGACAATAGAGGCGGTTGCTACAATAGCAAGCCGTGTTGATAGCTTCAGCCTAAAAAGATTGACTCACATTATACTCACTAAGCATAGACCTTGCCATATCAATGGGTGCTCTATTATTCCTCTCAATAAAGCTATTTGATTGTGGAGTGTACTTAGCCGAGAATTGATGTCTAATTCTAAATTCATCACACAACTCATCAATTCTAGTGTTTTTGAACTCACTATCATTGTCACTTCTAACTCTCTTGATGGTTGTTTCTAACTCATTGTGAATGCCCTTAACAAATGATTTGAATATTGCAAATACATCACTTTTGTCCACTAGAAAGAATACCCAAGTGTATCTAGTATAATCATCCACTATCACAAAGCCATATTTATTACCACCAATGCTAGTGTATTGAGTTGGCCCAAACAAGTCCATGTGCAATAACTCAAATGCTTTACTAGTGTTCATCATACTTTTCTTAGGATGGGTGTTTCCAACTTATTTTCTGGCTTGACAAGAGCTACAAAGCTTATCTTTCTTAAATACCACATCTTTCAAGCCTTTAACCAAGTCATGCTTGACCAATCTATTCAATTATTTCATTTCAACATGACCAAGCATTCTATGCCATAACCAACCTATGCTAGACTTAGTGAATAAACATATAGATAATTGAGCTTCACTAGCATTGAAATCAACTAAGTATAGATTCTCATATCTAGAGCCCATGAAGATCAAGTTAGAGCTATCTACACTTATGATCTCTACATCATCTACCCCAAATATGTATTTGAATCCAAGATCACATAATTGAGCCACGGATAGCAAATTGAAGTTCAAGCTCTCTACTAGCAATACATTGGATATGCTCATGTCATTAGATATTGCAATCTTACCAAGCCCTTTGACCTTGACTTTGCCATTGTCACCAAATGTGATACTATCATAACAATCATTGCTATTGGTATTGCTTGAGTTGAACATTCTTGCATCACTGGTCATGTGTTGAGTGCGCCCAATATCAAGAACCCAATATCTTTCTCTGGCTTTGTAATTGACCTATAAAAGAAGATCAATTCTTTTTAGGTACCCAAACTTGCTTGGGTCCTTGAAGGTTAGTGACCAAGCTCTTTGTCACCAAAATAGCTTTCTTCTTTGAACCCATCCATGGTGTACCAGTGAACTTAGCTTTCACACCATTTGTACCCTTAGTAAGCACATAGAAAGAATTAATCTTAATTGAGGATACATTAACACTTTTGCTCTTATTTTTGCATTCATGCTCTTTATGACCAACTTGCTTGCAACTAGTGCAAAACCGATCATTGTTCTTCACAAAACTAATCTTGTGAGGAGCAAAGACCGCTTTGTCTTTCTTGAGGGTATAGCCCAATCCCTCTTTGTAGAGAGAAGCTCTTTGACTATCCAAGCACATAAGCAAGCGGTCCTCACCACCATAGGCCTTAGCCAAGGTGTGAGTGAGCTCATTGACCTTCTTCTTGAGGGTCTCATTCTCAACCATTAGTGAGGCATTACATGTGAAACCATCACTATTAGATGAGGTGAAAGTGGAAGTGCTACAAGAAGGGTTAGTGGGAGAAATAATGATAGGCTTATATAATGATTCACCAGTTAGGTCACAAGTTAACCCTACATTACATGTCTTAACATGTTTCTTCTCATTTTGCTCATCAAGCAAAGTGGAATGAGTTTTTTCAAGCTTCTTGTGAGCCTTGCTAAGCTTCTCATGGGCTTCCTCTAGCCTCTTATGAGATGTATTGAGCTCACCAAAGGCTTGCTTAAGGGCTTTTAATTTCTTACGCAAGCTTTTGCATTCCTTTCTCTTAATGTCAAAGTGTTCTTTAGCATCATCTAACATGTCAAGTAGTTCATCCTTAGTTGGTTAATTATCATCACTATCACTTTCATTTTCATTTTCATTATCATGTTCCTCATCGCTTCCATCATCACAAGTTTGTACCTTAGTGGCCTTAGCCATGAAGCATGATGGAGTGTCGAAGAGAGAAGGCTTCTCATTGATAGCAATGCTTGCAAGTGTCTTCTTCTTGGTGATATTGTCATCATTACTATCATCATCATCACTTAAGGAAGCATCACTATCCCAAGTGACCACGTATGAACCATCATTTTTCTTCTTATTGGTGCTACAGTACTGATACAGTGATTTCGCGGAGGAGCCCGAGCCCCTCGGAGCTATGCCAAACACAGCCTTTATAGCAACTTTGCAGTATGAGTCTAAATGAGGTAGAATGAAATTATGTTTGTTACCGTAGAATTCGATGATATTGTAATCTTATTATAGGCACAAATTCTCCTTTCTATAAATTTTTGAAAAGTGTGATTTGATACATAGTAAAATGTGTTTGGCTTGATTTAAAATTACATGTGATGTGTTACTGTGTAAAACCAAATAGGCGTGAGTGCCGAAGGTGCGCACGTTCTATTTATGTCGAAGTCGAGAACCTTTTCTGTTAGTAGCAGCGAGGTTTTACATTTCCCTATCATGAGCGTCTAAAAAACGATGATAAATTTATGAAAAGAACGAGTCATGTACTGCCTCGTTGAGCTGCTATACAATGTTGCCAAACACAACCAGTGACAATACGTCATTAAAATAAATGTTTATAAATCAAAATTTTAAATATATGTGCACAAATGGTTGACATCTTCCAAGAACAGTGATCTCAGTTCTATATACCAGCCACAAAATCTCTAAACATCTTAGATGATATTATAGTGGTGACTAAACAGCCAAGAAAGTAAACAGACATCTAGCAGTCTAGCATTTCTTTAAGAACCAACTATACTGGCAAAGCCATACACATTTCTTAGGACAATAATGTGAAGGAGACTAGTAGAACATTTATTTCACAAGCATTTAAGAATTGTCAAGTGTGTATGTACATTCCTTGAGAAAGATGGTAAGGAGACAACCAGATTTATTTTGAGCGACACAGAGACACATGTACTGGTGACATTGCAACACAAACAGATTATGAGTATATGACACAAGACCGTAGTTTTTGCTCCTTCACCCATCTGGGTGCAACACAGGCGGGAAACTACAGTTCTTCTGTTATTTGGCCCTACCCCTGCACCTTGAGCTTGAAGACATTTTCCCTACAGATAGCTCGTTATGATCCACATCATTAAGGCCAATAATCCTTTTGCCATTGACCAAAGGTGCTTTCATCACCTTTCTTCATCATCACATACAAGTTTGCAATGTTAATGTTTTGATACTTAGCATTCCAGTAAAACCTGCTCATGCCTTTCTATCAACACTATGTTCTCCAAGAATCCAACCCTTGCCCTTTTTCTTATTGCAGAACATGTGATCACATTAAGATCACCCAAGAGAAACAATCAGGTCAACCAACTTTAAATGGAAAAGGAAATCCTTGTCCATCTTTATTTTACTAAGGGTCTACCATCAATATCATTACATCACAAGTCCCATTCATTAATGATGAGAAGCCAAGAGAGCTTTTCTTCATTTTGCATCTAGATGAGTACAAGAAGCAAAAGTACCTAGTGTTTTGTGAAATTTGCTAGTTTTTTTTTTTTTGAGATTTTTTCATGTACTTGTGGTATTTCTCATGTTCCTGGGGCACAAGAACTATGGTGGATTATCATGATTGGAAATTGTCAAAACATGAAAAGGGCCAATCGTATAAAAGTTGAGATTGTACAGTATAAGTTTGTTGTATTTATGCCCTTAGGAATAGAGTAGTGCCATGGGCCTAAGAACAATGGCAAAACTTTTGAACTTTATATGCAGCAATAATCAGGGAAGAAAAGCCAGATGATACTTAGAACAAGGAAACATCAGTAGAACATAGCTAAGCAAATATGTAGCTCATTTTCATAACAAGAATCATTCTACAGGTCCATATGGATGCCAATTTGATTAGGTAAAAAAATCTAAAGAGCATTTTGAGAGCACATATAACTAGACAAATATGTTAGAACTTCGGACCCAACATGAAGCTTGGCCATGGTTCTTCCAAACCAAGAACTCTTGTGATGACAACAATAAAGAAAGTGATCACTTCATTCCACTTCCTAAATGTAACTTTTCCTAACAATCTTGAATCTTCATCAAACACAAATGCAATTGGGAAGATACTCGTATTAACTTCTTTGGAAAAACAAATACAGCAACTCCAATGCAACATAATGACCTACTTTAGAAGACAACAAATTGTACCTGGTACAGCTGCTGTGGTGGTGGTTGGCTAGGCAATGGTGGTTGACCAGGAAGGAAGTTAGTTTGACGATTTGCACCCGGCTGTGAAATTCCAAACATCATCTATCAGTATGCAGAGCATGGTATCTAGTTATCAGGATCATATGGATTCAGCATAGAATCTTAAATGAAACATCGGTTGTTGTAACATGTGCTGCGGAGCATTTGCATGAGTCAACCCAAATGAATTTGATACTTGTGGATACATCTGATGAGCAAAGGACTGCATAGATGGTGGCCTAGACAATTGGGGCAAAGGTGGTTGCAACTGTTGATTATATATTGCAGGACTTTGCAAAGGTTGCTGTGGCTGACTATGAACTATAGGTATATGTGATGGAAGATTGGAATACTGTGGAGGAGCATGAGGCAGGGCCATATTTGGATGTTGAGATGGCTGAGAAGCTGATGAAAGCATCTGATGGATAGGGTATCCTTTTGCTTGTGTTGGTTGTGGTGGGTTTGCTGAAATAGTAGGAATGTCCATCGTCGATCCCACATTAGACAAGCCAGATGGAAACGGGGCAGAAAGTTGAGCAACACTCTGCTGGTTAGAAGGTAATGGGGGTGGAGGCAAGCTGACATGATCTGGTGCAGTAGTTTTGACTGAGGAAGGTGCTGTTGGCACTGCTGTGGGTGGGACCATGTCTGAAGATTGTGCCTGTAGGACAGAGGGCATGCAACAATAAAATTCAATTGCTGATTAGCATATTAATGTTAAGAGAAGTTCAAGAACTTAGTTTACATACAGTTTTTGGTGTTTTCACCATTCCAAGGACCACTTGCGCCTGCAAAAAGAAAGTCATATATGTTTCTAATTCTTGAAATGCATATAGAAATTCAAACCCAGTTAAAGAAGTAAACAGATTTGCTTTTAGACGTCAAGACATATTATGCCAGGAGAACAATGGTATAGGCAGGTCTTAGAACAAGAATATTTCTAAATAAACAGTTGGTGAATAGCAAAGTAGAACAAGTAGTGACTTTAGTGTTAATAGAGTTTGCTGGCTAACATTAGTACATAAAACACAGTTATCTTCATCCAAGGTTTTCTCAGGTAAACAACTACTCCCTTTGTTCCAAATTATAGTTCACTTTGGCTGTCTTAAATAAATGCACGATCAAAACACATTTCATGAGAATTTAATGAAACTAATTTGATATTGTATATGTTGAAGGGCGGGCCTGGTGCAAGCGGTAGAGTCTTACCGCCTGTGACCGGAAGGTCCCGGGTTCGAGTCGCGGTCTCCTCGCATTGCACAGGCGAGGGTAAGGCTTGCCACTGACACCCTTCCCCAGACCCCGCACAGAGCGGGAGCTCTCTGCACTGGGTACGCCCATATGTTGATGCATTTTTCTATGAACTTGGTCAAAGTTAGAAAAGTTTGACATAAGACAATTCTAAAGTGAAATATAATTTGGAAGGGACTAGAAGTGAACGCATTGTTGTCATGCTACCAAGTGATTCATAAAATAATTTATTTATCAATTTCAAAACTCAAATACAAAGGTAACAATCACTACAAGAGTCTCTTTTGAATGGTGTAAAGAGCAACCAACATTTTTTCACTACAGAGGTTCATGAATTCCTTTTTTTTTTGAGTTATAATGGACCAGACCCAATTGGAAGAACAGAGAACACAAAAGCTAATGTCGCCTGACAAGTATAGCCACATTTATACAAGTAAAATGAACATGACTATTTCCAAATTAACCAAACACGACTGCACAACCCACAAAACCCTAAAGCCCGACAGATATCTAGATTCCTCGAGTGGGTGCAGCTTGAGGCACCTAATTTAAGAAACGCAAAATAAACTGAGCTCACACGGCAGGAAATCTCACCCGAAAGAGCGCACGGGTGACTTCCGGGTTGTCAACAAGCATGCGGCGCACCGTCTCCTGGTCGTGGTCGATCATGCTCTGCGAGGGGCAAGCGCCATATAGCATAAAAACATCAGTAAAACGGTGAGCAAATCGGTGAACAAACGGGTGGATGGAGAGAGACAGAGGAGAGGAGAGAGGAACGGGGCTGCGGTAGGGTTTGGGGATTTGGATCGGCATGGGGATGGCGCACCTTCATCTTGGACATCATGTCGTACATCTCGGAGCGGGACATGCCATTGATTTGGACCGCAAGGGCTTCGCCCGCGGCCGGCTGCTTCGACGCCATGGAGGTGGGAGCGGGGGAGCGGCCGGAGATGACGCAACGACGGCGGGGATAGGGCGGACAACGGGGAGGCGGGGAGCTAGGCCGCTGTCGAGCTAACCGAAGCTAGCACAGGCAAGGAAAAATTGAAAGGGAGAAGAACGCCAGAACAGAGAAGAACGAATCGCGCCACGACAGAGAAGAACGAATCGCAGTCCTCAGATGCCACAACAGCCGGATGCGCCACCTGCGATGCCCCCTGCTCGCGCGTCGCAGCCAGAGCCAGGCACCCTGCTCGCCGCCACCGTGCCCGCCCCCTGCTATCGCTGGATCCCTGTATCTCTCTGTCGCTGGCTCGCTGCTAGCTGAGCGGCCTGAGTTCGAGTCTTCAAGGGAGAGGGAAGGGGCGACGGGCACGGGCGGAGCGAACTGCGGCGCAGAGAGCCACGGCGGTGGCGGAACTGGGAGGCCGCGCACGGAAAGGGAGGGGCGAGCCGCGAGCGGAAGGGAAGGGGCGAGGCCGCGCACGGAAGGGAAGGGGCGAGGCCGTGAGCGGAAGGGAGGTACCGGGAGCGACCCACAGGGCCTGTTTGGTTGCCCGCGTGGGCCTAGCCTGATCCGTATCTACGGGCCTGGCTCACCCCAGCCAGGCTAAGTACATGCAGGCTCTCTTATTTGGTTTCTTGCGCGTAGGTAACTTGGTTTGGAGGAGACCTCTCTTATTTGGTTTCTTGCGCGTAGGTAGCTGGTTTGGAGGAGAGTATAAATCATGTAACATGAATGTATCAAAATAAATACTAAAATATTAATTTTTACGATATTATGTCATAATAAAATTTAATTTACCTTATACAACCTTAATTTGTTTTAAAATCACTTAATATTCACTAATTATGTGCTAATGACGTCATTAGTTGTGCTAATCCTGCACGGCGCTCGCTAGATACGCTCGATTCTGGCGTTCCCCTTGGGCCTGGCTTGCATGGATCTTTTGCATGAGCTCGGCCTGTTCCGGCAGCACATCCAGGCAACCAAATGCGCTCCACCTGCATCAGATGGGCCTGGCGGGGGCATGCGGGCAACCAAACATGCCCATGGTGTGCGGCGGCTGGTGAGTGGAGTCTGAACTTTAGGGTAGTGTTGCCTCCGTGATCTATACTTAAAGCGTAGTTTTCCTCACTGAACTTCAAAACTGGATAAACTACCTCCCTTATTAACTTTTAAAACCTTTCATTTTACCTCCCCGATCTGATCTGATTATAGGTGGTTTTCAAAAACGGTTTTGTCTTTTTCTTTTTTATTTATTTCGGCTGAATTTTTGAAAAATCATAGCAAATCACAGAAAAATCATAAAATAAAAATTCCAATTTCCATGGACTCCACATGGGTATATCTATAAAATGAATATATAATATGGTATATTTTAGTATAAAATTTTTACTGTAGCTTTAGATCTATGCTTTTCTGTAATTAATTCAAAGCTACAGTTCTATGGTCCAATTATGTTGAAATTTTTATGGTGGGCTAATTATTATATGATTAAACTGTAGTGAGCCCAACGAAATTGAATTTTCCATTTTATGATTTTTGTATGATTTACTATAATTTTTCAAATATTCAGCCAAAGTAAATAAAAAAGAAAAAGACAAAAACCGCCTTTGAAAACCACCTATGACTGGGCCAAGGAGGTAAAACGAACGATTTTAAAAGTTAAGAGAGTTGGTTTACCCGGTTTTCGAGTTCAGAGAGGAAAACTAAACTTCTAGAATAGTCTAGGGAGGTAAAATAGATTTTTTCCTTTTTGCTTTTATACTTCATATATAGTTGGGCTCACGAATTGGGCCAGTAAACGTCTGTTGGGCAAGGCCTATGGGATATTTGAGTTGCACCACTACTAATGGGTTCCCGACGGGGGATCTAAGACGGGGCTGCAAGGAACATTCTCATCCCCGCCTCACCCGACGGGGATCTCTTTTTTCCCATTTAACTCCCCCACGTGGATCAAAACCTACCCATTCTCATCTCCTAATGGATGAAATCCCCAACGGGGATCGGTGATCGAGGCCCCATTGCCATCTTGAGCCTAAACTGGTGGGCTGGCTGCTTGGCTCTAGCTGCGACGCTGCGTACCATGCGAGCAAATACTCGGTTTATTAGTGCCTCAGTTCGGTGCGACATGAGAACCAAAGCCGAAGCTGAACACATGAAGTGTGTTTGGTTTCCTGGCCTATTTCTATTCTGGCTAAAATCCAAGTCTTGCCGGTCTTAGCCTGCTCCCACCAAGCCAAGGACTAGTTGTTTGGTTGTCTGCATTATCTAAGCCTGGTGTCGGTGTTTCGAATAAACACCAACTAGTAAATTTATATTTGTTGCGCGTTAGGCTCAGCTGGTGTACTAAAGGACACAAGGTTTATACTGGTTCGGGCAGAATGTCCCTACGTCCAGTTTGCTGCTGCTCGTGTTATTAGCACTGAAAAGGTTCGTAGTAGAGGGTACAAACAGTCGAGAGAGGGACAGGTCCCAAGTCTCTGATGGAAAGGTCGAAAGGATGCCAAGAGCTCGGTTGCTGCTTGGCTGTGTGTTGTGTGATGTGTTATGTGTGAAATCGATCTGTCCCCTTAGTGGGGTGCCCTACCTTCCCTTTTATAGATCAAGGGGGAGCAGGGGTTACAGATGAAAGAAAAAAGAACCAGAGGCCAAGAAGGTCCTTCGAGGGTGCCGGATCTTCCTTTTCTCTTGAGCCTGCTCTGCTGATATGGCAGACGATGCTAGGGATAGCACGTTCGTCGATCCTAATAGGGCCGTACTCTGGCTTCGTTCAGCAAGTGATCATGTCCCATCCTACTCTGGCGAACGGTGCGGCGTGCCAGGGTGTCGAGCCGTGATCCAACGGGGAACAGACGGGGAGGTGACCATACACCCGTTACTGTAGATGATGTAAGTTCCCTCCTAGATTATAGTGGTCGTCGTATGCTTATGTCAGGGTCCACGTCCGAGGGCTGATGGCGGCGCCCACAACACTGTAAGGCAAAAGTTAGGGCCTACAACACTGTTCGGGCTCTATCATGCCTGGAAGGGCTTAAAGCGCCTGTCCCGTCATATCCTGACGGTACTTTCTCGTAGGTGTGCAGGATATGGTCCTCGGTAATGTGGTTGACCTGAGCGTCGTGTCTTACCCTGTGCTCGTCATTTGTGAAGAAGCAGGGTGTAGACGCCCGGGATGTCGGGCGAGGCGGAGCCAGCCCTGGGATGTTGGGCGAAGCGGAGCCTGCCCTCGGACGTTGGGCGAGGTGGAGCCAGCCCTCAGCCATCGGGCGAGGCGGAGCCTGCCCTTGGTCGTCAGGCGAGGCAGAGTCCAGCCCTCGGGGGTCGAGCGAGGCGGAGCCAACCCTTAGGGGTCAGACGAGGCGCAGCCAATCTTCGGTCGTATGGGCAAGAAGTGTAGATGCACTCTCGTCTGTTTGGAAGCATCAGCGTTTGATGGTTATTAGTTCCACCTCTTTGGGTACCCCAGTATTCGGTCCCCGACACTAGCCCCTGAGCCCCCTAGCGATTCGGATAGAATCACCCGGGGGGTGATTTGACTTGCTAGAGGGTGCGCGCGAGCGCACCCGACGGGTGTAGCCCCCGAGCCTCCGGGTGATTCGGATAGAATCGCCTAGGGGGTATTTCGATTCGTCAGAGGGTGCGCGCGAGCGCACCCGACGGGTGTAGCCCCCGAGCCCCCGGGTGATTCGAATAGAATCGCCCGGGGGGGTATTTCGATTCGCTAGGGGGTGCGCGCGAGCGCACCCGTCGGGTGTAGCCCCCGAGCCCCCAAGGGATTCGAATAGAATCGCCCGGGGGTATTTTGATTTATCAGAGGGTGCGCGCGAGCGCACCCGTCGGGTGTAGCCCCCGAGCCCCCAGGTGATTCGGATAGAACCGCTCGGGGGGGTAATTCAGACCCTTCGCGGGTATGGCTGTGAGATTTGGTGTTTTGACAACTGGATAGTTTTAAAGGGAACCCCAATATCCTGTTCATGGGGATTCGTCCAGGGTCAGCCCGGTTGAGATTTGGTCGCGGATCGAGACTCCCTTGAGGCTCGTGCGCCTGAGTTTTGGCTGCTCGTGGGCCCATCCCTCATTGGGATGGCCGTCGAAATTATTGGGCCAGCCCTCGATTTCCTAGGCTCAGGTGGGCCGGAGAAATGCTCTTTGACTCGTATCCCCTCTGCGGGAAAAGAGTCCTGGTCTGCCCAGAAATGCGAAACGTCCGGCGTGACTTTGGTGGGAAAGGATAGGGATTTCGGGTGCATATCCCGCGATATGACGTGGTGGTGTATCGTGGTAGGCACGGAGATCTAGGTGGATGGTTGCCCTTCTCGCATCTATCGCCCCTATAAAACCAAGGGGTTCGCCCCCAGGGTTCCGTACTTTGCCTCCTCGCCTTTGCATCTATAACCTCTGCCGCCAATCGCCTGAGCCTCCCGTACCCGCATCGTAGCCATCGTCAAGCTCGCATCCAACCACCCCCATCGTCTAATGGAGTAGTGGTGTAGATCCGATGTCACCCTCTAGCGCCTGGAGGGCCTTGTTCGTCATGGCCTTCTTTGCGCGTGGATTGCCACCGAGGAGTGGCGGCTGCCTAGCAATGAAGATGCGCCGTCACCGCCCGAAGGCTACATTGTGTCCTTTGCTCACTTTCACGAGTGGGGATTCGCCACCCCCGCCCACAAGTTCCTTTGGGGGCTATTGAATTACTACAAGGTGGAGCTGCAACATCTTACTCCCAATGGGGTCCAGCACATTGCGACGTTCATCGCCCTGTGTGTGGGGTTCTTGGGGATTAGTCCCCACTTTGACCTGTGGCGACATCTCTTCGCCGTCACCCTCTTGAAGAAGCGGGAGAAGAAGCGAGAGCTGAGCGTGCCGATGGGATGTGCCGGCATCTCGCTCCGCAACAACCGAGTCAATGAGTACCCGTCAATGTGTTTGTCGACCTCTAACAAGGGGTGGCATTCGCATTGGTTCTACGTCAAGAA